TTGTAAGCCATGTGGCCGTGCAGCAGCCTATTTAGCACTGCGCAGGCGCTCAGGGAACCCGCCCAGGGACCTGCTGCGTCCCTCCCCGGGCCCTAACCTAGCCTGACCCCCAACTGGCTGGGGAAGGCAAGTCCAGGCAGGGGAGGGGTGCCCCGGCAGGTGGCAGAGTTGGGGTTGGGGGAGGGGCACTGCGGACGTGGCAAGTACGGGCCGCCTCTCCCCCGGCCCCAACCTAGCCTACCCCCAACTGGCCGGGGGAGGGGCGGTCCTTACCTGCCATGGACGGAGCGCCCCTCCCCTGGCCCAGTTCTGCCATGGCCTGGACCTGCCGGGGCACCCTTACCCTGGCCAGAACCCATCCCTGGCCTGGACCTGACGGGACTGGGGGAGGAGCACCTATCCTGCAGCCCCAGCCCCGGAGCTGCTGCAGCGGGGAGAGGCACCTCTCCCCCCAGCCCAGGTAGTGGTGTGGGGAGAGAGAGCTGGGGGAGTCCTCTCTCACTGCCATAGCCCCGGAGCACCCTCCTGCACCCCAAACCCTTCATCCCTGGCCCCATCCCAGAGCCTGCACCCCCAGCCAGAACCCTCACTCCCCTGCACCGCAACCCTCTGCCCCAATGCTGAGCCCCTCATCCCTGTCCCCACCCCAGAGCCTGCACCCCAACCCTCTGCCCCAGCCCTAAGCCATCTCCCACACTCCAAATCCCTCTGCTCCACTCCCACCACATGAATTTTGTTATGTGTACCAATATGAAGGTGATGGGAACACTGGTCTCGGGACACAGTGCAGCCAGCATTGTAAGCAGTATGTGGATTAGACCTCCTGTGAGCTGAATTAGATGACTCAAGTGTTTAAAACACCAGCAGCTCATCTACTTTAGGGCTCAAGATTTGTTAACATTGGTGAAATTGAACCAGTACTGTCAATATTGGGACAGTTTTTTGAAAAATGTCTCTAACATAGGCAAGGTTACATTCTTTCATTACTTTGGGGATGCTCATCAGTAATGAGTTGTTGGCATTGCTTTTTTTTTTTTTTAGTCTTTTACCAGTGAGGGATGAGTTAATTTGGAGCCAAAGCTGATTTATTGATAGTAGTGAAACCTGTTCTAGTTTTAAGTGTTCTCCTGATTCGTGGATTCCAACATAGTCTAGAATACACAGAAGCCTGCACAGCCCTAGCCCAGAACTCGGGTGGTAAGGATTTCTTCTCCTCTCCACTTAGTATTTCAAGGTAACAGCATTTAAAAAATAGAGATGTGCCTAAACCAAAACCCTGGATCCAAATGCTCCTGAACTTTGAAGAAATGCAACCTGGATCCAAACTCTCTTGCTCTGGCCTATCTCAGTTTAAAAGCATTAGGCTTCCTCATTTGTCAAAGGATTAGTTGAAAGTGTTAATAAAAGTCCTAAAGTAAGGCTGAGTTCATCACTTCTGCACAGTGTTAGCTTTCTGGAGACCGTGGAAATGGTTTCACAGTGTCCCTGTAGAATCTTGAAAATAACATTTGTCCTTTGTTTTGTCCTGTGCTGTTTGACCCACATTGATTATTTCTCACCCTCTTGTCTTTCTAACAGAGCAGGAGCTCTGACATTTCCTTTTTATTTAATTCTGCTTCCCCCTTAGTGATGGCAGCTAGAGAGCACACAGCTCTAGGAACACTGCTTGTTATTTGGCACATCACACCAAAAATGATGGCTTTTAATAAAACTATTATTATCTATAATGGCTTGGTGAGTGTTAAAAATATTGCTGCTTGTACAGCATAAATGTTCACTCGGGGGGGAAAATTATACTTCAGTGATGCTAGTTGTATCCCAGATCCAAGGAGCTTGGAATTAGAGAGGCAAAACTTGTGCAGTGGGAAGTGTTGAATTATTTTTCTGAGTTGCCTGTCTGCCAAATTAATGAATTTGCAGAATGTTTTATCCTGTAATTTAAAACTAAGTAATTCCAAAATTCTGTATCTTTTCTAGCTAAGTGGGGAAATCTGGGCTATGCATAAGAAGCAGAAAGCCTCCCCCAAAATCAAGTGGGTTCCCTATGTATAGGGTGTATATATAGCATTTATTTTTTAATAAAAAATATTTTCTCCCATACACACTTCTTTTTAACAGTCTCTCTCTATCCTGTTTTCACTCTGCTCCATCTCTGCTCATCTTTCCCCAGTTTCTCTTTAATAGAGTTCAAACTCAAAAATGTTCAAGTTGAATTTTCAAATCCCGGATGGCCAAGTGGCTTGGCATGAGGAAGAATGAGTTTGCTAATCATTACCAAATGTATTACATTAAATATTGATTCTAATGGTCTTTCCGAACACACCCATTCTGGCTGGACATCTATACAGAATGAATTAAGCCCTCCCAAAGTCTTGTTATAGCATGTTCTGGGACTTGTATACTACCTGAGATAGATTCTTCAAGGATGGCTCTGTTTGGGTTGTTACAAAATCCTTGCCAGTAACATGCAGGGGTCTTCCCAGGACATTATACTGTTAATGATATCATCCAGGCCTTGACTAAATAAGAGTAATTTGAAAAACAATAATTAAGCTCCTCCCACAAAAACTTCAGTCTCTTCAATTCTGTCTTCTGCTGTTGGTCCGGCCAGGATGGAAATTATTTCAGTTGCTTGGTTCCAATGTGCCATGTGGAGAATTTGGGGAGTAATCATAAATTGGAGCAGTGAGGAAGCTTGGGGTGTGGATAGGACATAAAATGAAATGGGTGGGGAGAGCAAAACCTCTCCATATTCCACAATAACTTAAAACACACTGAAATTAAAAGGGATGAGGAAGATAATGTGATATGATGCTTTGGCTAAGATGCTTTGTGTTAGTCTGGAGAAGAGTTGGGTAAAAAATACTTGTATTGAATAGTCATAACTGAACAAAAGGCAAAGTTCTCTACTGGATCCCAGCAATGCAGGAGATGCACATTAAATGCAGCTCTCAGACTCCTGGCTACAGATTTGCCCCATGAAGAGGAAAAACTGCTCTTTGGGGCATCTAAAAAGCTGAAATCTGAAATATTCAAGTCCCCTGTCTGGGCAGAGAGATCAAAACAAAGTGTCTGCAGGCCAATAAAAGGCCATTTCAGGAAACACTAGGAATGGGAGTGAAGGGCAGCCTGATCACAAATAGGACATGTGCTCTCCCCTGCATTCCCAGTAATTAGGGTTACCAGATAGCAACTGTGAAAAAACGGGACAAGGGGTGAGGGGTGGGTAATAGGTGCCTATATAAGAAAAAGTCCCAAAAAACGGGAGTGTCCCTTTAAAAATGGGACATCTGGTCACCCTACTTGTAATAGTATGCAGAGGCCTTCCCTACCTCACTTGGCAGATTTGCTGTGCTGATCATTGAGCTGGGGGTTTTTCTTGCAGTTCCAGTGCTGTGCAAGTCCACCTCCATTGAGGTGAGCATCCCCAAGGATCTGGTTGGAGGGCTGGATCTTTCGCTCATCAATGCTTCCTGCAAAGGAGTATCCAATGGCACTCATGTCAACATCAACTTCTCTTTGAAGTCCTGTGGCACTGTTGTAGATGTACGTATCCTCATCACCATCAGCTTTGTCATCATCATTGTTCTCATTACATGTGTAGGGACTGGGGATAGGTGTAGGGTCAACTAGGGCCCAATCCTCATTTACATGAGTAGCTGTACTGAGGTCACTAAGACAACTGATATGGGGAAGTGCTGCAAGATTGAGCCCTCAGTAAATGTTAACACCCTTCCCACTTTTGGATGTATCATGTGAGTCATGAATCCAAACTCTTAACTGACTGAGCTGTGTGGGTATCCAGTTCAGCTGCGTTTCATAAAGTTTCTTATTGCACAGGTAGAACCTCTCTCAGCCAGTCTGATTTCTTTAAGCTCCTAGTAGCCATTTTATGAGATGAATACCCAGAGGTGAAAGTAAGCCGGTACACCCCGGTACCGCAGCCCCGGACCCTTCAAATAGCCACCGGAGACCCACTGCCGCCTCCCCAGGGCTCCGGCAGCAAGGCTCCGGGGACAATTTAAAGAGTCTGGGGCTCCGGTAGCTGCTACCGCCCCAGGCCCTTTATATTGTCCCCGGAGCCTGCCGGAACCCTGGAGTAGCGGCGTTGGGGCTCAGACGGCGATTTAAAGGGCCAGGGGCTCGGCCACCGCTACTTCCCCAGGCCCTTTAACTTGCTGCCGGAGCACCGCTGCCGCTACCCCAGGGCTCCAGCAGCAGGGCTCCAGGGACGATTTAAAGGGTCCGGGGAGGTAGCGGCAGCCGGGGGCTCCGGCGGTGATTTAAAGGGCCTGGGGCTCCAGCAGCGTGGCTCAGGTGGTGATTTAAAGGGCTCGGGGCTCCCACTGCCGCTATCGTCCGGGGCCCTTTAAATCGCCACCCGAGCCCTACTGCTGGACCCTGGGGTAGTGGCGGCGGGGCTCTGGCGGTGATTTAAAGGGCCAGGGGCTCCCAGCTGCCACTACTGCAGTGGAGCCCCGGGCTCTTTAAAGCTCCGCCAGAGGCCGGGGCCCCCTCCAATGGTGATTTAAAGTGCCTGGGG